GGGGGGGGGCTGACTATAAACACAGTTGCAGCTCACTTTGTTCTTAGCCCCTTGAAAGACCTGGATTGTAACAGAGAGTAATCTTGTGGGCAATAAAAGTAGCTGCTGTATTAGACCAGTGATCCATTTAGCCCATTCCTGTTTGTCAAGCTGGCTGCAGCACCCCTAAAACCTTGGATAGAGGTTCCTTTAACCTCTTCCTGAGTTCCTTTAACTGGAAACACCAGGGACTTAGCTTAGGGTAGATGATGTATGGAGCACCAGATATTTTTGGACTGTAACTTCTATCAGCCTTGGGCAGCATAACCAATAGTGAGCAATGATGGGAGTTGCACTCATAGACATCTGGGAGAGCCACAGTTGCCCACTCCTGCTATATGGTATGTGCTTTGTGGATGAGCTTAAATGGCTACTACTGTGGTTGTCCAAACCAACGTTCAGGAGAATCTGGGAATGGCTAGTCTTAGTACTTTGGGGACTGAGTGGGGCTTCTTCTCTCACATGTATATATACATACATGTATATGTAAGCTCCATGTAGAAATAAGGCTTACCTTTTAAGGATTCACTTGGAGCCACAGTTGCCATGTTGTCATCCAAAAGAAGGCACAAGTGTTTCCCTACATAACTCCAGTTAGTATTACAGTGAATGCAGTTGTTTTGAAGGAGGGCAACAAAAGAGCAGAATTTCTAGCCTGGATGAGATTCAGGTTTAGTATTCTCAATAGCCTATTCAGACTGGTGGCTTAGAGTCAGTTGTCATTTGCTGTCAAGTCAGCTTTGACTTGTAAATGAGAGACCTCCAAGTCACCCTGTCATCAACAAAACTCAGGGTGGTGGCTTCCTTGGCTGAGTCTATCCACTTGCAATGCCGTCTTCCTCTTTTCCTGCTGCCTCCCACTTTGCCAAGCATTGTTGCCTTTTCTGATGAGTCCATTGTTTAATGATGGGGCCAAAGTACGATAGCCTCAGTTTGGTCATTCTACTATGAATTCAGGCTTGATTTGCAGCAGGCCATGGAATTCGTAGTACTCTCCTCCAGCATCACATTTCAAATGAGTTGATTCTCTTCCTCTCAGTTTTCTTCATTGTCAGCTTTTATACCAATATATAGAGAAATCAGAGTGCCTGATCTTTTTTCTAGTTCACACAGTATTTCAGCCCATTTAATCTTTTCCCTGTTGTTTGTTCTTTCTGGAACAGAAAGCTCTTCTAGCCTCTTCACAGTGGAAGCTGCCAGTCTGAGCCTGTCTTGCTGAAAGGTTTGCCTTCTTGCAGGTGTGACCTGACAAGTGGCACTGTTTTTTTGAGGGTGAGCTTACCTGCCAGGCTTCTTTAGGAAGGTGACTCAAGATAATGCCCATGTAGCAACCTCTACACTGTGCTGGAGAGCCTGTGTGGTGTAGAGGTTTGAGCATTGGACAATGACCCTGGAGAACAGGGTTCAAATCCCTGCTCAGCCTGAAATACACTGGTTGATCTTGGGCAAGTCACATTCTCTTAGCCTCAGAGGATGGCATTAGAAGAAACTTGCCAAGAAAATCCTGTGATAGGTTTGCCTTAGGAAAACGACTTGAAGGCATGGAACAGCAAAGCCACCTCTATAAAGCAGCTATGGAGCCCTTTTCCAGAACAGGGACATTCTGAGTTCCTCCAGTGTCAACTTGCATGGCCAGCAATTGTAGTGTGCACATAGATCACTCACTGAAAGCTGTACATTGTGCATTCAATGAGGTCCCATTGTGCCATCCCAGGGACCATTTTGTACATGACAAATTTCATAGGGTTTTCTTAGGCGAGCAATATTTAGTGATGGTTTTGCCATTTCCTTCCCCTGAAATATAGACTACAGGAGATGGGTGGTCTCCTATCCAAGTGCTAACCAGCCCTCACCTTGCCAAACTTCCAAGATCAGAAGGATTTGCTCCTTTTAGCATATTTAGGCCCTGTTGTGTTGTTAATGTGGCTCAAAATATGATGTTATGAGGCTTCTCCCAGCATCTAAGAGTG